CAAAGAAGTGAAAATTCTAGACAGACACATCCCAACAGAGAGATGGGACCCAGCGGGGATAAAAGAGCGTGGCATCTTATTTATTTCTATTGGATGACACCTAATGTAAAACACAGGCACACAACCCCACAGTAATTAACACATAATGCACCAAAACAAGCATAAATGCTGGAAACATAAGTCGACCACTTACATACAAGACTCTGCAGAAATCTAAACCAGGCCTTAGTCCAGACTACTTCTTCTAGATGACATCCAACCTGTGGGGCATACACACGAATAACACTGAACATCACCGCAGGGCTCGCAAAATCGCTAGCCCGACGTCCTAGCTAGCGATATCTCCGGTCGGGCTCGCAAAATCTATCTCAGCCCTGCCCGTCGGGCGATTTTGCGAGCCCTGCACCCCTTTGACTTCCAGCTCCAGACACACTATTCACCTTCACAACACTATTCGCACACGTTTCCTTAATGATTTTCCTGTAGAACAGCTTGAATCAACCTTTAATACTCCTGGCGTTGCTTCCTTGCCACCCGGTCTCCTGCACACTTACTTCCTATGTCTTTTCCATCATATCAGTAAACTATCTCCCTTTACTTGTGACCCTACTTTTAAATTTGCTACTCACCTCCACAGTCCAGCCTGTCGTTACACTCCTTTCCCCCCTCCTCTTACTTTCTCCTCAGCAAAAAGTAGCACAGTTTCCAGCAAAGCCTTGTTGCACCAGGGGCAATCACCCCAACCAATCCGGTACATGAATGTCTTTCTTGATAATCTCCATGTCTTATTTGGCAAAGATGCAAAAAGATTTTACACCAGCTGTCCTTCCTGTCACAACCCTCCTCATTTATCCAGGCACAAGCACTTGAAGTAATAATGTTGTTGGACCCTGTGAAATAATGCTCAAAGTCTGCACTTCAATGACATTTCATTATTTAACATCCAGTGTGGCGGATGGGAAATCCTCCAAAGAAAATACAGGGAAAACTACAAAAATGTTGTCATTATACAAATGTGTGGAGCTGACTGTAATGCGTCAGCCTGTCTCCTAATGGAAGCTGCTGGAGGCTGCCACCACCAAAGGACATCAGCATGTACAGACCAGGAAAAAAAAAAAGAGGCCACAGTGGTAACAGGACACCTTCATGGCAGCAACAAAGCCAACCACAAATTAACATCTTTGTTGGCGACTGGACAAAGACCCCCAATTCATAATTTTAGAACAAAGAGAGCGTCAGGTAATATTTAACAATCCTTTTGTACGTTCGCCTACACACAGCCTTTGTAACACCTACATAAAGATGTGTAAATGCACCGTAACTCAGTCCTTATCGTCAAGCGCTGTTTGGTGGCTAAATGGCCCACATGAGGCCACTGAACAGGCTGGAGGTCAGGCATTGTGTAGATCATGGTACAAGAACTCCGGTTGTAATACTCCCAGGTGTGGATGTTTTCCTCTAACACTCCAGGGCAAACCCAACTATGACAAATTTATTATAAAATGTTTTAAGAATCACCAGTGTAAAAAAAAAAATCAACAGAACAAAAACTGCCAGAATGTGTATAAAACATGCATGCTTCCTGTCACACTCTAAAATGTATGTTCTCCTCTGAGGGCCTGAAAGTCTGACCAAACATCTAACATTTTGTCAGCTGCGGCTCTAAAGCTTGGTGTGGTTGTGGGAGCGTTTGTATGTGTGCAGGACAAGGTGAATGGAATAGTGAGAGAAAAGGGACACTAATGCCCGGCATACACATGCATAGACACAGACACAGACGCACACTTCATCCAGATTTGACAAGGTTAGTTAATCATCTGTCACGGGGACAGGGGAACGGACAGACTCCCCTCTCCTCTGTCCGTCCTCCATCTCTTCTTCTCTATTTATCCCTCCATCTCCTCCTCTACTCCTTCATCGCCTCTCTGTCCAAGGGCAACTGTCCTTTTCCACCGATATTAACCTTGTAAATCTCACCACATGCTTTTTATCTTTCCCCCTGTCAGCCTGTCTTTGCTTCTGTCTCTCTCACTCTTTTTCCCCCCACTGTCTTGCTGTCCCACACGCTTTACAATGCTATGAGCACAGGCCTTTCCCCTTCCTGCTAGGGACAAAGCTGTGTCTCTATCATTCAGCGCTGTGATCGGCCACACATCATTGCCTCCCAGCCATTTAGCCCAAGGTAAATCTAGTGGTCCCTTTTATAAAGAAAGATGGAGAAAATGGATATTGATAGAAATGATGGACAGGTGACACAAAAAGATGGCGATGACAAAAGAGTTGCTGTAGGGTCTAAGAGAGCAAACAGCTGAAGTGTAAAAGAGAAAAAAATAAGGTGATGTGAAAAGAGGTACGGGTAGATGGATTTAAGGCTGAAGGAGGAGTTCCCTCATATTATCAGTGCAGTCACTGTAGTCAAAGAAGAAAAAAGACATTATAGATGATATTAGTTTGTTAAGAAATCCAGTTTAACCAGCACATATATGCCAAAGAAGAAAATAAAATGTAAAACATAAACACAACAGGCCTCGAGGGCCGGTGTCCTGCAGATTTTAGATGTCACCCTGGGTCAACACACCTGATTCAAATGCTTAGTTCGTTACCAGGCCTCTGGAGAACTTCAAGACATGTTGAGGAGGTAATTTAGCCATTTAAATCAGCTGTGTTGGATCAAGGACACATCTAAAACCTGCAGGACACCGGCCCTCGAGGTCTGGAGTTCGAGACCCCTGGCTTAGAGGAAGGTAAGCCCCATGTCGCTCTTTTGGGCTGTGCCAGTAGGAACACACCAGGCCTGGCCCAGGTGGTGACCAGGTAACCCTCTCTGAGGCAAGGTGATTTGTTCTTGTGTTTTTAAAGTTATATGCATGTCTGGACTCTCAACAGTGACCAGTTTGACCATAGAAACCCTCACAGAACAAAATTACTCCTAACAGCACAGCGATCACTCAAATCCTGATAATGTGACAAAGAGG